TTGGGGGCCCCTCTCCCCCTGCCTTGGCTACCACTCCCTCTCCAAATGCATGACTGACATTCCTGGCAACTCACGAGCAAGGAATAAACCAGGGCACTATAAACAGGATGTTCTAAAACCTGTTCCAAACACAAATCATTGAAAAACATTTTCCAGATGACACAACCCAAAATATAACAGGAAAACAAATCCATATTCCACAAGCCAATCTCACTTCCGAAAAAGGAGATTTTACTGCTGGACCTGGAAGAGTTTCCTTCAGTAGATACTTAAACACATCAAAGTAAACACTCTCTAACCAGAATATTAAACATCTCCATTGATCAAAACTGATCTTCACTTAAAAGAAGACAAATACATTAATTTTTATAAAGTAAATAAAACAGGAATCTGGGTTCAAATACTGAATCAAAAGAAATCTTTTAGATTAACAATGAATAATTAGTTTCCAGAAATTAAGTTTATTTAAAAGATTTTACCTGCATTAATCAGGTCTGGATCTACTTCATTTTCAAGTGGGTAAGGACCCTGACAACAACACAGACATACATCAGCTTTATTAAAATACCTTTGAGACACAGTTCATTATCACTCTAATATTTCTAATGCTTATTATGGAAAACAGCTCATCACAGATTTTTTTTTTTTTTAGCAGAACGACATCCTTGATGATACAAGCCACAATTTACATCAACTAATACATCAGGACTGATGGACATATTGTTAGAGGCTATTAGAATTACCAAATAACCACAAAGGGGAGGTTCGGTTTGCTTGATTTATTTTTAACTAAAGTGGCAGACATTTTTCAGAAAAAGGTATGTAGATGCAACTTCATTTTCACTGTCATATGGCTTTATAATATTCACGTTAATCTTTAAAATTACGTTCAGTAAGGCTTACAATGCTTGGTGTTTCAAACTACTGAATCTTCTGACTCCTTCCATCAAAACATGTTCTTGAGTACATATTTACCAAAGCAGCACTATAATCCCGAAATGAGCGTTTCCTTAAAAACTTTCCTGTACTACACTGAGAATTTTATGATTATGCAATATGGCATGCATTTGACTATTATTTTTAGTAAAATTATCATCAAGTGGGGGTGGGAGAAAAAAGGCAAGCCACTGCAAGGTAAGTACATTGCACTAAGTAACCAAGGTATGTTCTTACCAAACCCAGGACTCCATTTTCACTCTGTAAGTGAACAGTTATATCTGGACTTATGAAGTTACTGGCCAACAGTGGGATTCCAATACCCAGATTAGCTGAAGAGAACTGGTTAAGGCACAAGCAGGAACACACTTACTGCAAACTAGTAAATTTTAAAAAGTTATCACTGTACTATATGATTAGATTAGAACAGTTCTCGTAACAAACACTTTCATTTTTAGTTAGGTGCCTCATATTTGTGATGAATTATTTTGCCATTTGGACTGTCTAATGGCATTCTGTCAAATACATTACATGATAAAAAACCCACAGTGCAAGTAAACTTCATTTCCAATGCATGTAACTTATGCGAGAAATAATTGCAAAACATGCAACTGCTAACTCTCCAGATATGCCTGCATAAAAGCTCCAGATACCTTCTGCCTTATCATCACATCTATTTTAATAGGCTGTGAATAAAACGTGAGAAACCCAGGCTTTGGGAAAAACCATGAGCACGGTAATTAACCTGTATGGTAATTAACCTGTCTTAAACAAAACAGCTGCAGTTGTTACCCTATTGAGTCCTCGCTTTAACCTATAGGTAGCACAGCTGAAGGATACCATACATGCCATCCTCAAACTCTAAAGCGGCCCGTCTGATAATCCTCTCCCTCACGTTGTCTCCTTGTTTTTGCTTGGCCTTTGAGTCCTCAGGCTTTCGGATTGATAAACGCTGCAAAAGAAGTAAAAGATAAGAAGATAAGTAAAGGTTAGAATTTAGGTTCTTCCTTCTCAAGACACAAAAGCCTGATTTCTGATTCCACTGAGATATTTGGTATAAGAATAATGTTCTTATAATCATCTTCTACAAACACCCAATGCTTTACTCTATCAGTTCAAGCGTATCTAAGCCAACGGGGTCATCAAATACCCCTAACAATAGCCTTAGCGCAAAATATTATTTCTTTGTATTGCCAGTGCCGAGTGTGATACAAAAAAACCAATTGGTTAAAAAGTTGCACAAAACACTACTGCAAATGCTAAAAAGGCTAAGATTCATACCCAGAGATACCCAAATACATTTGTAAAATGTCAGCCTAAAATGCAAAGACTGCTTGCCTTTCATATTCATTGAAATCATCAGTGTTATTCCAGATTTATATGTATGAGACAGAAAAATGGCAATCACCTAAAGATACTGAGAGCTAAGCAACTAAATTTTCAAATATAAATCTGTATAAACTTGCATAAATCTGCCTGAAGTTCTTTCCTGAGATTTCCTGGCCTTAAACTGAAGCTTTCTAAACCACGTGTAAGTGAAAATGCTGTGACATCCAAAAAGTTTGTAAAACCTTTTTCAGTAACTTATTGTTTACATAGATTATCTTCTTTGTGCATCTCTCCAATGCATATGAAACTGCTCTGGGTAACATCTTGTCCCTGGCAGCTCCATATGTCTTAATATCCTCTCCTGCTTCAGACCATAATGTACACAATAGGCAAAATTATCCTCTGCTCCTTTTCATCATCACAGAATTTTTGCAGTGTCTTTATTCCCCTGTGTTGGGAGTCACTTCCCTATTAGGCAACCAGACACAGACAGTATCAATACCCTCGAATTCCTCAGCAGCTTTCTTTTTATGCCTTGGATGTATAATCTTTTATGGAAGAGTAAATAAATCTGCCAATTCCCTCCTATACTTCCAGTGATGAGAGATGCCACTGCCAGTTACAAAACTACACAAACAAAACGAATCTCTGATACAACTTTGCTGTACAGTTTCTAGTAGCTCCCACTGCCTTCCTTTTTTTCCACTAAGCATACAGGGGAGAGTGCAGTTCACTAGGCAGGTGTTTGTATAAAGCTCTTCCCTGGACAGACAGTCACCTCTTCATCCACTGCCAAACTGAAATACAAACAGCAGTTTAATAAATGCAAAATGGATTTCTCTCATGAAAGACAAAAGCTTTTCTGCAATATACTGCATCCATTCAGAAGAAGGGAACAGGTCATTAATTGCAGTCTAACGCAACATGTCCTGAGAAGGAAACAAAGTTTGACATATCTGTTTCCAATCAAATATTCAACAACATGCTTTTGTAGAATGAACAGATGGAAGGAAGAAAGAAAGCTTTTTAACGTTAACATTCATGGAAGAGTTTGCTAAGAGAAAAGGCCTTGTACGACTATCTAGGACTTTGTGACTTGATATTAATAATAAAAGTTTAATTATTATAATTCCTTTCTGCAATTTTTTTTCCAAGAATTTTTTTCCTTGTGTCATATATCTCCTGCTCCACTAGCTCTTCTGATGACATTTCAATTAATTCTCACCTCCAGAGTATGGAGGCTTGGGAGAAAAACAGAATTTTCAATTGTACTTTAAGAGTACTGTCACATCACCAAAATGAACACAGGGGTATAGCTGGAGTGAGGCAAAGATACAGAAACAAAGAAGAACAATTACATAATCATAATTTTCTTGGATATTTTCAGTGATGGACTATTATTGCTGCAATTTTTAATAGCTATTGATGTCTTTTATTCAGACCAGAAATGCCACTGGCTAGAAAAGTTCCTGATTAATGAAAAGGACAAAGAGTTTCCAGGAACTTTGCAATGTAACCTAATGGCACAAAAGGGGCCAAGATTGGGCCAAAATGCCCATAACAAAAGCTCTCCAGTAGAACAGAAAGTATTTAACTGTCAAAGTCAGCAATCAGACTAGGTGCTCCCCTTGTTGTGTCTACAGAAAGTAAACTGAGAGAAAGAAGGAGAATGAAGCAGCATTTTCCATCAAATTTTTAACTGCATTAAAGCTACCAAGGACTACAGGTGATTGTTCTAAATTATTCAGGGACTGAACCAGAAAAGAATGAGGTATAAGAAACAAGGCTCAATTCTCAGGCCTCCAGCTAACTTAACTACTAATTACCTAAGTACCAACTTAAACTCCAGCCCTTAGCAAAACTTGACAGGCCTTTCTCACACTGTTTCTCAGTGCTAAGGCTTGGTGGATAGAGTGAAAACCCAGTCAATTCTGAAATACAGCCCATGCTGAAATATGTTGTGACTAAGAAGCTCAGCTACTTACTTCAATCCTCTTCTCAAACTTCTCTCCTCGTATTAGACGGTCAACATAGATTTTGGGAACATGAATGTCTTCTGGGGCAAATGCTCCTATATCAACAATTTCTTCCACCTACAGAGAGAAGGAAAGTGAGAGATTTTACTAGCAATGAAGTTTCAAATATCGAATATAGCGGATCAAATCAAGAAAACTATGAATGGGACAAAACTCAAATACAAGCTAGTTTAGATGCTTACCTTTCCTTTTCCTTCAAAGGATATTTCTACATGCAAATTGGAAGTAGTTTATGTTTTTACAGCCCAATTTGTACAACCACCTTGAAATACGCCATGTACAGTTACATCAGAGTTGTTCGTATCCACAAATAACTTCCATCCAAACAGAAGGAAACAATATGCTGCTAACAAAATGTCAAGGGTACAAAGCAGAAGTATGAATTTTAAGGATACAAACACAGAAGCTGGATTGAAGTTTCTCCATAGTGTACTCAAAAACAAAATTGAAAACATTTGAACTTTAACAATTGATTGCAAGATGTGAAATTCTAGAAGTCTCTACAGTTAGTAAGAGACTCAGCACACAATGGCACTGAATACATATGTATGTACTGAATAGTACATTTGAAACATCACCTATTTGGAGCACCACGGACAACAAAGCTTTCCTTCTTTCTACGTTGAGTTCAGGTGGTCTAGCAGGAGACCCTGCAAAGGCCAGATGCCTGCAGCACAGACCCACAGCCACGACTGATGCTTTCCCTGATAAGTCTCAGGTACACAGAGCACATCTCACTCTACCACAAAACAGACACTACTGTTACAGCTGTACATGCATCCAAGCCCAGAGAAAACGTGTAATGTTAAAGCTAAAGGTCAAAGATAACATCTGAAACAATCTACTCAAAATTAAATTAAATAAGTTTCCAAACTGGTCTATCACCAGGAACTAGTTAAACTTTCAGGAATGTCCAAAGTCTAAGAACCAGAAAATAGGGCCCAGTGTATGACATGTCAGTAGGGGTATATCGCTTAGCAGCCACCATCAGTGAAGCAACATTAAAGAGCTTAAAATTCAATTTGACATCCTACTGGTACTGCACAACATGATCAATAATAAAATCTATAGTACATCTGATAGACAATTAACTTCCTACTGTGCCTTCAAGTGTGCCAATAAACAAACAAGCAAATCCACCCTAAAAGCAGTAGAGGGAGAGGAAAAATTAACAAACTAAAGACCACAGAATCAGTTTCAGATGATCCCTTAAAAAAGCCCTGAGATAAACAGACAAGAAAAGACAAGTTGCAAAATTCCACAAATTTTGAAGGTAAAGGTGGTAAGGAAGAGTTGGTAACAGCGACAGTGACACCAGCCTCAGTGTTCATGGAAAGCAGAATCACATATCCAGAAAGTCCTTATCCACAAGATGAGACAGTCAATATTTTGAAAACTCATATTACTGTAGTCATGACAAAATAGTGCAATGGCATCCATGCCCTATCTCATTTAAGTTTTTTATTTTATACATGAATTTTAAAATTTATATGGAGACCAAGTCAAACACAGGGTACAATGAAAGGATCCTGAAGAAAAAGAGCAGAAGCACACTGCACTCTCTGTGCAGTGACTACTTTCAGAATGTGATCGAAAGAGGAGGAGCAGGAGACAAGACTTTTCAATACAGCCATACGCAAGCATCCGTTACTAGCAGAATTCCCAAACTCACCTCTTCTAATTAAATTTGTGTTCATTTACCAGGTGGAAAATTAGGCCTGGGAAATACTGATGACTACTGATTTGAACTTTATCATAAAAGAATTAAACTTACTTGCTGAAGTAGCTAAGATTATAAAACAAAAATATTTGCTGGCACAACACAACCTCAATAGAAGTATGCTGCTGGAAAACTTGACACACTGTCTCTCTCCTCCCATACAATACACAAGATAAACAATTTTTCACAATAGATTGTTGGATTTTGTTATTAAGTCACCCCATTCCCTTAATTGCTTAGTGTTTTCTTTCAAAACAGCAGGCAGCATTATAGCTTTTCCTTACAAGAACCTTCAACATATTTATTATTTCCATATATTATCATAAATGAACATCACACAGAACAACTGTATTTTGTCCTACAGATTTTAAATGGGTCTAAGGATCCTTGCAGACTGGAACACCTTTGTGTTCTCAAGCAGCCTGCTACTATTCTTCCTGTTATTCAGAGAGGCTGTGGAGTCTTCTTTGGAGATCTTCAAAACCTGACTGGACGTTACTGTGCAACCTGCTCCAAGTCAATCTGCTTTCACAGGGGTTTACACTAGATGATCTCCAGAGCTCCTTTCCAATCTCTACCATTCTGTGATTCTGTGGTGTGTTGCAATTTCCATATTCTACACCATTATGTGGAATGAGCATCAAATGTAATTAAAATTAAGTTAAAATATCCACAGAGCAATAAAAGGGAATTTTGAAAAGGGATTTTTTTTTTTTTTGCATGTAATTTTGCCTGTAAAATTTGCATGTAATGACTGCCAGAATACATATCATCAAGTCCTGCAAGTGAAATTAATAAGCATGTTTATATGAAAAAGAAAGAAATCATGCAGGGGAAGTACAAATGTCATCTTATTGCTCCAACTCTCTCTCCCAACTCTCCTCTCAGGGAACTAGATGACACTCCAGCTGAGACGCTGTGGATGGGCTGCCAGCAGCCTCCGCCAGTTTTGCCAGCACTGCTATCACAGACAAAGCTGTGCCCACAGAAGTGAAACAGGGAAATGTGATGAGTATCAGAATCAGCAACTTAACTTTCTGTGACCGCTGCCAGATGTAACCCGAGCATCTCTCTAGATAAGAATAATGCAAAAATATATAGTTCCATAGCTGGGCATAATTCATTTCCATTTCAGGTTTCATATTCCTTTAAGAGTCTTTTCTGTAACACATCCACAGCCTAAGCCTCAATGAGACATGCAGGAAAGCATTCATATTAATAATTAAAAGGATGTGTGAGTTTTCTTCTTGTTCTACTCTCCATCTAGCTATCCTTCTGTTCTATCTTCTTTCTACTTGCTTTGCCTCAGGCTTTATTTTGTCAGGTACAGAAGAATACCTGTAAATGTCAAAAATCACGGTATGGCATCCCACCCAAGAGGCAAAGTCTGTCAAAGCATAAAGAGGGAACTAATCAGGTAGACCACCTCCTGAACGTTTCTTTATTAGAAAACCAAAGTCTCCGGTACCATTTAAATTGCATTGATCACATGTGTTCATTTTAAATCTTAACTTCAACAACATGCTAGAAGATAGAAAATGTTTACAACTTTGCTACACAGGTAAATCTAAAGAGTAACTTCAAGAGACTATATGGGCCAAGTTCCCTCTTCTGGAAAGGTTCTGATGCGTGATTCAAAATCCTTTCATTGTTTCAAGAGTTTCAGAGTATTAGTTTTCTTCCTGGGTATAAACGTTCTTGCAAACCTTGTCTGATGGCTGACAATGGGAGCAGAATGAATAAATCTAATAATTTCTGAATACCAGTTTATCTGCAAGAACACACAGAACATAAAAGCTGTTCTCTGCTATGATTCATGAGTGCCTTCTGCTATTCCGTTTGGTATCTCCACTTATGGAATCAGTGGTCATTTATTTCACAATATCACTTCCTTCTGTAATTTACATCTACTTTTCCCTTTTTAAAGTAGTTTGATTTATTTTTGGTTATGGAAATTCGGCTATTTTTCTCCAGTTTTAACTCAGAATTTCTGAAGGCTTCCAGTGTGAGAAAGGAAACCTCAAAGGTTATGGACTTCCAGTAAGAAAGATAAAGAACACCACTTCTTGACCAAAAATTGGCAAGGAAATTACAATGACACAACTATTCATACCAAAATACTTGAAAATAAAAAGACCTTTCCTTTGAGTATGTGCCTTTTAACCTATTTCTTCACCCTAATTAGCATTTATGACACATGAAATGTTTTCAGCTGTTTTAGTTTTAAATCTCAGTTTTCATAAAACTAAAGTATAACCAGAAATTACAATATAATTCCTTATTATGGGAAAAAAATTGAAAATGTGCATGGGTGGAAGGCTGAGAGAGAGAGAGAGAGAAAGAGACTGGGGGAGCAAAAGCACTTAACAAAGCCCATGCATTTTTAAGTAGCTTATTTTTACACTGGCTTTATTGAATCTTTCTATCACAGTCTTAATTACCCTACCACACTTCAGTTCTTCAAAATGAAATAATAAAAATACCTAGCAGAACATAAATAGAATAGAACATTAGACCTGGTCAAATGTCCAAACAAACAGAGGAATTAATCAAATTTAGCCCCTTATATGATCAAGATAAACTCACTAGAACACTTCTTCAGTTCAATACTGGAAAATCAGGATGTCACTGCAAAATTACCTTCTCTTAATTTTAATTGTTTAGACTGAATTTCACAAAAAGCTTTAACACTGTGGAAGAGCAGAGTACACAATGAAAACAGGTCACTGGAAATTAAGAACACACTATACAAACTTACTACAGGAGAGAGCAAAGGAGGTTAGTGTTTACTTTGTTCTGCCTGCATGCAGGAAGTTGAAAAAGGATCTTCCAAGTTCACTTCTATCCTTTTCTGACTCCAAGACCATGAAGTTTATACTCCTGACAAACTCTAATGGTAATGAAACAACAGTCGTTCAATAAGCTATCCTGGAGAAGAGACTTACAATTTTAAAAAGCAAGCAACTGCCAAGTAGTCTGATAAAGGCACATTTTGGTCAATAATCACGATACTGTGCTCGCATCAGGCTTGGAATAAAGGCCTTCATAAGCATACTGAGGGGCAGGGAACAGTAAAAATACGTAGAGTTCAGATTTATTAGAGAAGATTTAGCCTAATGAGACTGGTCTGGGTCACAATGAAAGTCTATTTAGTCCAGTAACCCTTCTTCTTGGCAAAGAACAGGAGCATAGAAAACAGTAGGAAGCTTCTGGTCATATTCTCCTAGCTTCTAGCAATGTGAAGTTTAAGGACACCTGTCAGAAGTCAGACATAGACCACCTTGTTCCATAGCTTCTGATGAAACCATGAACTTGCATAATAGTTTTCTCAGAACCC